AAATGGCAAAAAGAGCTACCAGGCTGGTGCAGGATCACCACCGCCGTGGACTGTCACCACCTGTTCCTTCCTGTCAGACTATGGTTGATGTAGACCCCTCGTTTGCAACACCTAACGCCCCATCTGCAGACTGGTCGCGCCTGTCTCGTGTGGTAGAATTGTTAGCTTGCGGTGCAATCTTATATCATGTCCTATATGCTTGAAGGCTCTGGAACAAAAATGCTCTACATGGATCTTCATTATTGGCTTACGATCCAGGGGGAGTAGAGAGATAGAGAGTTTTGTATCTCCCTAGTGGCTCGCTGGTACAGAGCCACCCAATTTCCTTCCCCTCCTTAATACTTTCTAACCCTGTTATAGCTGCTTCCCGCACTGTAATAGACGGAGAGTCTTCCTGGACCTAGTGAGGCCCGTTCGTCCAGTAGCCCCAGCCCCCGTACACTACGGCAGCTGAGGTGACGTGAGGATAACAGAGACGCCGGTGTACCGCCACTGCGTAACCTCGATAGTTCACCCTCACACGGCAGGGCAGCCCCACTAGGCTCTCCCGAGTTAAGGAGAGCATGGACGGGCAGCCCCGTCCCCTGCATCGATCTCCGCCCATGCGCATGTCCATATAACCTGAGTGCACGCACTACCCCGCCGCGACCGCCGCTACGAGTGGTGCAAGTTTTACGCTGGGAGCGCACGAATCTGGCATGCACGACACTCGCGAGCACGTCCCGCAGCTCCGCGGCAACTTCGAGTGCGACTTTCTCCGCCTAATCGCGACGGCTTACAAAACTACGAGTTCTGGTGCGCGCGCGCGAAGGAGCTCTGCTCGGAGATGTCTTTATCTCCGTCTAATTATTATTTTTGAGCTACTTCTACGAGTAGCTCATCGTGCTGCCATCAGCTCCATCGTGGACTTCGGAGAATAGCAAGGCTGTTACTGGGGAGGGGCTAGGCCGAGGAACAAGGCGAGGCGCCTCACGGCGTCTGCGCGCGGGATGAGGATAGACTGCGTGCCGCTGCCAGCGACGAGAGTCACTTTGCAGGTGGGGCCGACCTCGATGATCTTGTACGTGCCAGAGTCAATCTCAATTTGCTCGCCCTGGAGAACAGCATCAGTGTACTCTTCTTCTCCGCATTGCACAGGCTCAGATGGCTGAGTTGGGACTGGCATAGCTGGTGGGGCGCAGTCACCTCCGGGTAGAAAGTGATGTGCAGTACCTTGTGCAACCGGTCCAACTCGCTGGTATGCCACCGTAACCTTTGCCATAAACGTAGTGATGTTGTATTTCAACACAATTCGAGTTCTGGAGTACTTTGGATGCACCACATTCATCTCATCAAACATCACTGGCATTGGAACACATAGCTTTGGACGGTTCCCACGTCTGTGCATGTTGAAATTCGGTTGACCAAACCAGTTGCCGAGCCTTTCCAGCTCGTCCTTTGTGCGCCAACTGCAGATTTGCATGTGCTCCACGGGACAGGATCCATACACATGCATGTACTCGGCATCAAAGCTCTCCCGAAGCGGGTAGCAGACGCGAATGGCACTCAGCGTACCCACATACTCACTGCGGGTAATACCTTCAAAAGATGAGAAGGACATGTGTATGTCGCGTGAATCCGTGGGCTTTTCTCGCTTGCCACGGCTCCTTAGAATACTCTGGATGCACTGGAGCACATTGCCTTTGTCCCTGGCCAAAGGATTCAACCATGGCACTTCAGCGAGTGATGCAGGCGGTGGCTGCCTTGGTACAGAGTTCTTCGTCTCGGTGCTCAGCCGTCGCTCAGACTTCGACACCTTCACTTCACAAATGGAGCTGACTCTTCTCCTCCTCACATTTTCATTTGTTATCTTCAAAGCCTCACCATCATCAGGTGTATACAAATATGAGATGTGCTCATGCACTGCACAGATATAGCATAGAATAGTGGCTTTGTCTGCGAGAGCACCATAGTTGACATGGGACCATCTCTGACCTGAGTTAGAATCAAAAGCAGAGACTCGCTCTCTCACCCACTGCCCGACAACAATCTTGTCATGCCTACAAAAAACATGACGCCATTTAATTTGACACAAAAACGAACCGTCTGACACGTTCAGGTCGCACGCAAAGCGAAGCTGCTTGGTGTCCTGGAGGCAGAAGAAGCATGTCAGAAACACCAGCTACTTTACACCTGGCACCAGCAGCCGTAGAAGACAGCACTTCAGCTGTGCAAACCGCATCCGGAGCAACTCCCGCTTTAGCAAGAGCGGCGAAGTCGCAGCCCTTGACCAAGACTAGGTCTCCAGCCTGTAGATCAGCCCGAAGCATGTGCCGAGACACACCATCATCATCTGGGCCGGGTACGTCCGGAGAAGGCGCTGCCTTTTTTGGCGAGACGCGCCGCGGGGCAACTGTCCGTGGGGCAGCCGATACGATAGGCGCGCGACCCTGTGGACGGACGCGCTTGCCCGCGATGATATTGGCATCATCCACTTCTCCCTTGCGCTTCTCTAGACGATAAACCTGTAGTTTACCGCCCATATCCGGCGCCTCGGCGTCCGACAAATTATTATGAACGGCCACGGGGATCTTTTGTCGGATTCTCGGATAATTCATGGTTCGTTCTGTGTATGGGGATTTGGGTCGAGGCAGTAGGCGTTATAGCGGCAGTTGCATTTCTCGCACCATTGCTGCTGCCCTTTAGGGAGGGGGTGTATCGCCAGTTTTCGCTTGAAACTCTTGCGCTCCGGCAGCGGCACGGGAAAAGGATGGGGCCGCCAATGAAGTGGATGGGGCCAAAGCGGCTGAGGCTCACATCCATAGCGGACGTCTCGAGTAGAAAATTCGGTTGCATCGTACAATTTTTTCCATTCCATCCATTTGTTGCGGTTGAAATCGTTGAACCTGATTTCGGCCGCGGTGCACCTCTCTTCCAATACCTCGCACTTCTTCTTCCACGCGTCTTGGTCGAAGTCGTCGTCGGAGTCGAGATCATCGATGTACTTTCTCTTGCAGGGGCCCTGAGAAAACGCTCGCCATTGCCACCGTGAAGTAGTGGCTCCCGCGGCGTCCGATTTCGGCGACAGTGTCGTTGCTGATGAAGATCTCGGCCGTGGGCCCGAGGTCGCCGAACCTCGCATGAGCGTAGTAGAACCTCGCACGCGCGTAGTAGAACGCGATCTCGCGGAGACCATGGTCATACGGCTTGACGTAAGAACGCCGGTCATTCGGGTCCAAACGCTCGAGCAAGTAGTCGATGTGGCCGTCTTTGAGATCCGGGTACTGATCACCAACTCCAACTAAGGGCTGCGGCCACTCGATTTGGTGCTCATCGTCTTGCGCGGCCGTAATCTCCTTCACAGCCGCGTACGCCGCGTCGAGCGCAGTCGTGTCGAGGTGAGCGGTGACGTCGGCGTGTAGGAGCGCGTCGAAGTCGCGGTTCAGTGCGCGGAACGTGTGCACGGTGAGCGCGGCGATTGCGCCGCACTCGTGCGATTTCTGCCCTTGCGGCGTGTCGTAGGTGACATCAAAGCCAAGCTTGGTTGCCCACGCCGCGACCTGCCTCGATCGCGCGCCCGTGTAGCCGAGGTGGTCGACGATGCGCATGCGCATGCGCACATCGTTGCGCGAGATGAGGTTGGTCGGCATTTCGTTCCGCCCGGGGTAGCCGCATCCGAGTGCGAGCGTGCTTTCGTAAATTTCCTCGCGCGTCAGGCCGCGTCCCCTTCTTGGCGACGCGGGTGGCGCTGGAGCGAGCGGTGGCGCTGGAGCGAGCGGTGGCGCTGGAGCGAGCGGTGGCGCTGGAGCGTGCGGTGGCGCTGGAGCGAGCAGCGGCGCTGGGGCGCGCGGCGCTGGAGCGAGCGGCGGCGCCGCTGGAGCGAGCGGCGGCGCTGGCGCGCGCGGAGCGAGCGGTGCTGGCGCGCGCGGCGGCACTTTGGCGCGCGCCGTGGAAGCAGAGTCGCGCGGCGCAAGGCGGCTCCTTTTCGCGGGGGGCGTGGCAGCCCCCCGCGCTCCGCGGCCCCTTTTCGTGCGCGCCATGCGCGCGCGGGCGCGCGCGGGGCAGCGCGCGGGTCGCCGGCGGGAAGGTTCAAACCATGTCCCGGCGATGCTCCCGCTGATAAGCCGAGAACAGCATCTTAAAGTGCACAGCCAACGGCGACGACGACCACAGAATCCTGTGGGCACCGTGCCGGCACCGCCGCGGGTTGCGCTTCGCGCCCTTCGGGCGACGACAGCCATTTAATTTTTTTCGTACGGCGGGGGGAAGGGACGCACAACTCACGCATATATATATGGACAAGAACTCTGCCAAGCAACCCCGATCCGGCTCGCTGTATGTATTTGGTTCCGCTAGCTTATGGGATGACCATTTCTAGCCCACTTTTCGCCATGGAGGGGGGCGGCGATGGGGGTTGGCGCGGCTAGGACGCCCGAGGCATGCATGACCCTTGGCGCTACCATCGAGACCCGATGCTTTCAGCCATCGCACATGCAGAGATCGGTCGATTTATAGGTCGTTTTGCACGACGAGCCGGGTTTTCGCAGTCCGCGGGTCGTCATCGACCTCGTCCACCACATCGAGCGCTTCCCATTCGATCAAACCATGACCGAAGGCTGTCGAAGCCGCGCTTCGGGCTGGCGCATGCCGGATTCGCTCATGGGGCAGCCCCGCACCGCACTCCGCGCCCGCACTTCCGAGGTGCAGTTCGGGCCGAAGATGGGCACCTATATTCGGACGAGGCGCGCATGTGCTCTCGTAGGAAGGCCCTGAACATGGTTTGTATGGGTCGTCCGAATAACGGACCCCATGCCGACGCGCTCTGGGCCCCGGCGGTCATCCACATCCCGACCATCGTATTCTCCGCCCTCTCGCGCGTTTCGCGACGAAATTTGACGCGCCCTTTGCGTCCGACGCCGCGTCATGACCCCTCCGAGGCTCGTGCCAAGCAGCTTGCTGCGACTCGGGCGGCAAGCTCGCCGTCGGGACGCCGCCGGCCGCCGAAGACGAGGTCCAGATTTGGCGCTCTCCGTAGTGACGGACAAATGATCGAGCGGCGGCTGCTTGGCAGTGAAGAAGACCACCGATGATTCTGATTGACCTTTCCTATTGCAGACTGCAGACTGACTAGAGCCAAGGCCATGCCCAGGCACATTATTCACTATGAGAACGCACACAGAACAAGGGAGATTAACAGCGCACTGTCGGTAGATAAATACCTGGATTCTGGTGGCACTCGCAGCCAGCTTTTGTACGAGATAAACAATAAATCACTTTCGGCATCTCGGGTAATCGATTTGCCGACGGTAGTCGGGCCCTTTCGACGGACTTTAATTTCGTGGGAAATTCGGTTATCTCGGTTAGTGCTGGGGACGTCGTGCGTGAAATTATGAAGTGCTGGCAGCATCCTATTTCTTTCATTGGCCGGCCCATCGCGAGCATTTATTTCATTGGCCAGCCCGAGGGCTAGCTTCAGCGCGGCGACCAGTATAGCGGCCGATGATGGAATTTCCACCTTAGAGGGCCCCGCGCTCCTCGAATATGCAATGACGTGCAACGATCCCAGAGGCTTTGAGGTCCGCAAACAGACTGCAAGTCAGGTGAAACTCCCCGGTTGGGGGAACGTTGGGGGAACCTCTCTGTCACTTGCACGAGAATCTAATAACTCTTGGACTCGGACTGTTAGTTCATCCAAAGACTCTAAATTCATGTACAGAGCAAATTCTGCCACAGCGCTGCTGCACTACTGTCAAGACAAGTTCTGCCATATAGACGTAGCACTCCAAGTTGTTGTGGAGAAGGATCAACCTTCCCCATCTAATCCGCACGTGCTGCTTCCTGAGGACCTCATATATGACGCCGAGAGAATTGCTGAGTTAAGCTCCTCAGATGGACTTGAACACAAACAGGAATTTCTCAAGGCCATTATCAAGGAGTTCAGTGACTTATGCAAGAACGATTGTTTTAGCTTGGAAGTAATACCAGAGGAGCGATCTCCCCTGAGCACTCGTATAGTACTCAAGGTCAAGAGAAAAGGCGATGGTTCCTTTGACAAATTCAAGGCTAGGTGCGTGGTGCGCGGCTTCCTCGCCAAGATAGGACTTGATTTTTACGCCACGTACAGTCCCTCCTCTTCTCTAACTACATCTCGTACACTCATGGCACTGGCTGTTCACCACAACCTACCTATTCACCATAGCGACATAGCACAGGCCTTTATCCAAACCAAACTTGATAGACCAATTTTCATCTCCTTTCCTAAAGGTGTAGACATTAGGTCTGACTTGCTGGAAAGCATACAGGACAAGTTTCCAGACTCCAAACTGGGAATCCGATTGCTCAGATCCCTGTATGGCCTTAAGCAGGCACCTATGTTATGGAATAAACTTTTGAACTCAGTTCTACTAGAAGCTGGCTTCATTCGCAGCAAGAATGATACCAGTCTCTACATACATCACCATGAAGGTAAATGGGTCGCGTGTGCCGTATTTGTTGATGACATCTTGGTGACGGGGACTGACGTCAGCAAAATAGCGGAGCTGCGGAAACTGTTCCAAGAGAAATTCAAAGGAGAGCATCAATGGGATGAGAACATTAACTCCTTCCTGGGCATGGATATCTCGTATATTGACGGTGTACTCTCTATGAACGTCAAGGCCAAGATTGATGACTTGTTTAAGAAGTATCCTTCCTAGCTAGCAGCAATCGTTGGTCTCAATCAACCTCTTCATCTGAAATCGACAACCCTCCGAGTTTAGATGATGACGAACTGTCGG